AACAATTGTTCCCTGGACGTTTGATGTCAAAAAATGGTGATTTTGAATGGCCACCGCGTTCACCAGATTTAACGGCTCCAGACTTCTTTCTGTGGGGCTATTTGAAATCAAAGGTTTATGTCAACAAGCCAAGGACCCTAGACGAACTTAAGACCAACATCCGACAGGAAATAGCCGCCATATCGGCCGAAACATTGTTCAAAACGATGGAAAACGCTGCAAAACGGGCACTACTCGCCATGCAGGCTCAAGGCGATCATTTAAGAGATATCATATTCAACAAATAATGTACACAAATCTCCTTGAACCATATTAAATGGCTTTTACAATGAAAAGCAAAAAATGTGTTTTTTTTCCCATGATTAACAAAAAAACATTTTTCCGTCGAATATGGCCAACCCTGTATATATATATACTACTGTGGGCAAAAAGTATCGATAATTTCAAATTTAAATTTCCCGGGGTTTCCGATAGGGACAACCGAATTTATTTTGAAGTTGGCAATTCTGTCAGTGACAGAATGCGCCAAGGTACACGTCAAAATAGTCATTAGTGTTTGAGATAAGCGTCTGTTTGTAAGCACGTAAAAAGTGATTTGTCGTTTTTTGAAATGTCTGAAATTATGGAACAACGAAGTGCGATACCATTTTGTGTCCACCATTCGGTTTTGATAGTCGGAAAGCATCGTTTCAGACACATCAACGCGTCGTTGTTTTTCCAAAAAATTGAGCGATTTTGGCACCAATCGCGCTTTCACTTTTCGGAGGCCCAAATGGTCGCTCAAAATGGTTTTGACTGATCCTTCCGATATGCCAACAAGATCAGTAAGGTCTCGGACAGTCAATCGACGACTTGCGAGCACCAAATCTCGGATTTTTTGGACGTGAATCACATCAGTTGATGTGGATGGCCGTCCGGCACGTGGCTCGTCTTGAACGCTCTCTCGGCCCTCTTTAAACATTCTGTGCCATGCAAAAACTCTTGCTTGTGACAAAGCGCCATCACCGTACGCCTTCTGACACATTCTCAACGTTTCGGCTGCAGAAATTCCATTCCGGACACAAAATTTTATCGCACTTCGTTGTTCCATAATTTCAGACATTTCAAAAAACGACAAATCACTTTTTACGTGCTTACAAACAGACGCTTATCTCAAACACTAATGACTATTTTGACGTGTACCTTGGCGCATTCTGTCACTGACAGAATTGCCAACTTCAAAATAAATTCGGTTGTCCCTATCGGAAACCACGGGAAATTTAAATTTGAAATTATCGATACTTTTTGCCCACAGTAGTATATATATATATATATATGTGTGTGTGTGTGTGTGTGTGTGTGTGTGTGTGTGTGTGTGTGTGTGTGTGTGTGTGTGTGTGTGTTAATCAGAATGGGACTTACTGTTGTTCTGCGGATGTGGGTGGATCCAATGAATTTCTTTGGTCCTAGCACTCCACGGAGGGTTCCCATTCGGATGGGGAGGCTCCGGTCAAGTCACTCTTATTCAAAGTTCAAAAGAGATGGAGTTCGACTGAGAACTGCGTATAGTCGCGAACCGACAGAGTTTCGTTTGGAAAAAACTGACGAATGACAACTACGTGTAGTCGCAAACCGGCAGAGTTACGGTTGGAAAAATGACTGACGGCTGCCAACTGAGACCGGCAGAG